ACATGATCTTGCCCTGAACAAAGGACGAATCTGCACAGGAGCTGGGCATCCTGTGAAGAGGACGGTCCAGTCCCCTGTGGCCAGGAGCCCTTCCTGCCTTATTTCTCAAACTAGGTGTGCAAAAAAGGAATCGAGACTTCCGGAGACCTCTGCTTTGCTTTACTTTTCATTTCTTAATTCTGCATGCCTTCGCCAGAAGGATCAGAGAGCTCTATTGCATTTCCAGTTTGCGACATCAGCATCCCTCTCGTGCATCCGGCCGATAATTGGCACACGCTATTTTCATGGCAATGCCACCACCTGCCTTCCAGGCCCCTGGGACAGGCTATTCACCATGTAGAACTGTCATTCAGGCACAGGATGCCGCAGAAGGCTAGAAGTGATTTTAGAAAAATGAGACTGTTCATCCAGTACAAGATTTTATCACAAGAGCACTTCGGATGCAAACCACCTACGCATCTCCTAGCTGGCCTGGCCCAGTGCAGTGTGCAGAGTTTGATTTCCGGAGGCCTAATTAGTCCAAAGTAGACCACTCTGATGCTTACGTCAGCGAACGAGAGGCCCCACTGAGGTGAACTGAATAGCAACGATGTGCAAGTAACTGGATTTAACTCCCGAAGTCCGTGAGGCAATCGCGCGGTGTCAGGACAGCCAGCCGCTCGTCGGCTTCGAAGCCTGGCGTAATAAACAGCCTTGCGACCTTAGACTGCACACGCGCTGGGGGCTTGTTCAGGGGAGAAACCCTCCAGGAGATGTCCTGCCTGAAACACACCCCCATGTATTCCTCTGAGGAGGCTTGGTCTTTACTAGAAGATTCTGGGAGGTGTGGACTTGGCATCCACGCTCCAAATTGGCTTGTTGGCTCCTGGCTGGATTCTCTCTCCAACAGGCGTCACTCAGTTTTGCTTTTTCTAAGGGGAAGCAGGCTTCTGGAAGATTCTTCAAAGTGCTCAGGGTGACTGCAGAAAAGTAGCTCTGGGCGGACAGCGTCCTAATAACCCCGTGAACTTGATTATCATTTAGATTGCTTGCTCAATGGTGAAAATGAAGCTTTGCAATCAGAGCTGCAGATAAGGCTCCAGGGACGAAAAATAGAGCCGAGGCCCCATAAACTACCAACCATGGCAGCATCCAGGTGACCCTTGCTGCCTCCTGGTGACACTGTCAGCTGTCTGAGTGCTGAGGCCACCTGTCCCTGTGTGTGTGTGTGTGCCCGTACACACACGCGTGTTTCCACACATGCGAGGTGAGGGGTATAATAAACACCATATGTGTTTATAGAGATTAATGAGACGATGGGACTTGGCGTTTACAGAGCAGGCTCGGAAGAACCCGAATCTTGGTAGCTGGGTGTTCGCTGACTTTTAAAACGGCAAAGGCTCATGCAGCTGTCTGGCTTTGCCAAATGAAAATAGTAACAGGCCCTACAGTTCAGATACAATAATGGACCAGACACAGAGATTCAGGGCTAAAAAAAAAAAAAAAAAGGAATACAGAAATGGGCAATTTACCTTAATAATTTTATTGGGGGGAAAAAAACCAGGAAACAAACACCTCCTCTGTTTAATGATGATGGGTGGCGCAGGCGACCGCAGCCCTCCTTCCGCGGCATTAATCGATTCGAATCCACGAAGCTTCAAGGAAAATCCATAAAAGACCCATAAGCGAACTGAAAATTGTTCTCACCAGTCACTTTAATTTTATAAAGGCAGAATTTCCGTTAAAAGAGAATTGATAGATGGAATTTCGCTCTATTTTTGAACGAAGCGCATGTAGGACGGTTGACAGTTTCCATCCCATGAAGCGAGGTCCCCAGTGGGTCCTGCTGCGTGGGTCCTTGAAGAACCATCTGGACGCGGGCAGGCCCCCGTGGGAGTTGCGTTTCGGCCTAGGCCACCCTTTCAGCCCTCCTGCCAACTGCCGTGGACACCTCTTCTTCACGATTCAGCTGGGCTGTGGCCTGCCCCTGTCCCTGGTGGACTGGCCACGCCCCCACGAGTCCCCTCCCTGGGGGCTGGCCCCGCCCTCACCAGCCCCCTCCCTGTGGACTGGCCACGCCCCCACGAGACCACTCCCTGTGGACTGGCCACGCCCCCACCAGCCCCCTCCCTGCGTAGACACCAGTTCTGGTGCCTAAAGGTCTATTCTCTGCTCTCGCCCAGGGCTGAAGCCCGTATGTCTTGTGTACCTCCGTGTCCCTACGGCAGAGCACCAGTAAGGCGACAGCTTGGCTATCACGTCAACAGTGACTCAAGGCGGAAGCCTGGGAGCCGCCCGAGGCTCCTCTTCCGGCCCCTCAGCCCACGTCGCTCGCGCTCAGTCCTGAGACCCCAGGCCTCCCAACCCTCGGCCTGCACCAGGCACTTGGTCTCTAAACGCTGCCGTCTCCAATTCACCAGGCTGCAGCTGCCTGATCCTCCCCGTCTCCCGGGTCATGGCTTAAATATCTCCTCCCCCGGGGACCCCTCTGGCCACCCCAGGCCCCCTTTACTGTGCGGCCATGTTTCGTTGTCTTCAGAGCTCTCGTCTGACTTTGTAGCTGCTTTGTTAGTTATCTGACCCGATCCTGAACGGCGGCGGTAGCAGGATGGTGTCTTAACTTTTTCTTGAGCCCTTCCTGGAGGCGTGATTCTTGCTCATTAAATGTGGAAGAAAGGAGGAGGGGCGTGAGAGCGAATCGGGTCGGTCTCTTGGGAAATGGGCTAGCGCTCGTCAGGGCTCCCAAAATATGGAATCTGCAACCCAGTTACCAGCGTGCGCTGGTGCTGAGGCTAAGAGCGTGGGTGGACGGGGCTGGGTGGACGCGGCTGGACGGACTTGGGCTGAAACCCAGCTCTGCCTCTCACGCATTGTGTGAACCCCAGCAGGAGACACTTGGCCCTTTGACCTTCCCTAAAATACAAAAAATCACGGATTTGTCACAGGGTTGGTATGAAGATCAACTGAGATCCAGTAAACAAACGCCAGCAGCGTTGTAACGAGATAGTAACACCGACCCCTCAGGTTTGCCCCTGCCCCTCGCCGTGTCCCGCTCAAACTGCCAAATGGGGTTCTTCTTCCTCCACTGAGGGGACGCATGCTTTCTTTCAAACAACTTCCTCCAGGGGGTAGGACCTCCCTCTCTCTTTCCTCAGGCCAGAAGGGGCCGGGCTTCATCAGATGGGCGTGGCGCTGTTATGAAGCCAAAAAGTCGCAAAGTGGGTGGTGCAAACGCTTCCCCAGGGAGTGGGGCGGAGCCGCGGGCGGGGGAGCGCCCTCTGGGGCACAGATCTGCTTGTGTCGCGCCCCTCAGACTCTACACTTCTGCTGGGGCGCAGCGGGCAGGGGGGGAAGGGGTCAGAAAACAAAACGGCGAGGTGTCAGATGGCTCCTGTTCGCTTTCGTTTCCTCTTGGAAATAAAACCCAAGCTTCGTTGTGGTGTCAGGTGCTCTGAAGAAACAAACTTGAAAAATAAAAACAGTCCCACAAAAACAAAACCGCAAAACGAATTTCCGAGATAGATCACTTGCCGTTGACTTGAGATGATAAACACGTTACAGAAACACAGTTTTTAACATTTTTACACCCTTGAAACGCCGTCCATCTGTCCGCGTTGGCCTCCCCCTGAACTTGAACTTGAGCGGCCCCTGAGGAATGCTGACCCGGACTTGAGTCTGACTCGTCGTGGGAGGTTCCTTCTTCCTGCCGAAGTGGGGCTCTTCGAGCTGTCACACTTCTGCTTGCCCAAGACCCTGGCCACCTTAAGGTGACACCGTGTCTTAGGAAGTGTCACTGGGATTTTCCTGAGGCCCTGGGCTCTGGCCTGGCCCTGTTTAGAGTAGAAGCCAAGGTGGGCATGGGGGGGAGCGTCTTGGCAGGTCGCAGTCTCATGGCGACACTGACTGCTTCTTGCCCCCGTGCCCAGTGCCTTTCCAAATGCTGGGGACAGCGTCCCTGTACTGGGAAAGGGCATCTTTCTCCTCTCTCTTATTTCTCCCTTGACTCTCGTCTTTTAAGTAATGGTGACTTTTTTTCCCCCGTTGTGTTAAAATAACTACAGACAGAATACAGGCTCGGCCCCCGTGTTGTTTCCACGTCGTGCGTGAATAGCTGTGCTATGTTTCTCCAGAGGGGAGGGAGGTTCCAAGCACCCCATCTGTAACCCCCGCTTCTCGTACCCCTGGAAAATCCTGCCTCGTCTCAGGCCTGAGGAGTCTCCGGTGGCCTCTCTGGAGGACTGAGTGAGGGGCCCAGGTCCAGGTGGGGGTGTTCGATGGAAATAACGCTGGGCTCTCCCCTGGGAATTACAGGGAACCCACTTCCGCTCTGTGATCCTGAGCAAGGGTGCCTTGCTCAGGATCTGTAAACGTCATGGTGATTATAATGTACCCTGACATCAGAAAGCATTCCAGACCCAGTGATTTTTAGCCACTTTCTCAGTCAAAGGGCACCGGACTGTCGTGTTGTTGTCCTTACGTTTTCTGGCACTGGTAATCCATCTGTTAGAAAGGATGCGAACACCAAGCGTCCCCAGTGGAGCCTGGAGTTGTGCGTGAAAGTTCTGCTGTCAAAATGTCCCAGCGACGGCTGGGAGACGTCCTTGTCCTTAGAGGCACCAAAAACCTAGAGCGGAGGCATTTTGTGGGTGGGACGACCTCACGCCCAGGGCCTGCACCCCAGTGACACCGAAGCACATTTAGTGCCACCAGGCACTTCCTCCAGCAAACCACGACTCGCCGTTTCCGAATGAAGCAGGCGTCGGAGCTGCCGTTCACGTGGCGTGTCAGATGCCCACCTCGTGCTTCATGCCTTGTCGCAGGGTTGTCCAGACCGATCTGTTGGATGTTGATTTCAGCACCGCTGCTTGTGATGAGCCCGCCGAGCCCTGCAGCGTTGGCAACGGGCGGGGCTCAGATTAAGGGTCAATAACAGTGTGTGTGCCTGAGTCCACCATAAGGTTCTCCAGAAATGCACGACATCTGTGCCTTCCGAAATTAATCCTCTTTCCATTTTCTTCCAGATAACTTGTTCAAGCCCAAGGAAAGGTACATTTCGGAGAAGGAGATGCACCTGAGATCCAGGAGGTACTTATTTGGCCGCCGTGTGAGTGGGAGGCGGGGTTGGGGGACAGCGGAGGGGTGGGAGCGAGGCGGCCTGACGGGCCCTGGCACCGTCCAGCGCAGCCAGGGTTTCTAGGCCCACGTTTAAGGGTCCGAGGTCGTCTTGGCCGTGAATCTGAAAGTTTGGCTAAAAGAAATACAGCTGTCGAATCGCACCCCTGAACGTTAATGACGTTCTTGGAAAAAAACCTCAGGAAAGTGGTGGGTCTTGGATTCCGAACCGATCCAGTCATCGGTCTCCAGGAGGCCCCAGGCTCATAACGGGAGCGCCCCGCACGTCCCCGCCGTCACTGCGGCTGGCGCCGCTCGTCTGTGCGCCTTCGACGGTGGCTTTACGAGGAGCAGAGAAGCAAGCATTCCTCCTGAGGGGGGGCAGGGCCCGGAGTAAAGGGGCCCAACGTGGGGGCCAGCGGAGCCGCAGAGCGCCCCAGGCGGCTTTCCTGGCCCTCCTTCCCCACCGGCTGGGCGGCCCTGCTGCCAGTGGACGCTCCCCGTCCGGCTTGGCTAGTCACCATTCTAGACGCCCACGAATTCTCCCCAACCCAATGCACTCAAAGGCTGCCACTCATTCTAGGGCCTGGGCTCCAACCGAAACGGAGTAACACAGCAGTGTTGGCCAAGTTCATGCAAGTAAAATGTCATTAATTTATAATAAAGTATCTAGCACTGGGAGGAATTAGAATAATTAAACCAAATTGATAGTGCACTTAGAGAAACCATTGAACTAGGAAGAATGCGTTTCTGCCCACTTCAGGCACAAAATCTCTGCTTTTACCATGAGGATGTTGTTTCCGTGATCATGAGCCAGCTTTGGCCATCTGTGGGGCGCCTCTTTGTAGATAAGTGGAAGGGAGGAGGAGAGGGGCCACCCCGAACGACCCAGCTGACGGCGTTCTGACTGGGGATTTTAAAGGGCCACTGGGTTTTGAGACTTGCTGTTTCAGAAGGTGCAAAGTCGTGCATACCTCATACGCAAAGCATTCCTTTCCAGTTCAGCGAAAAGATTGGGCCAAATCCTCCATTCTCATTCCCCAAACCCAAAACTGCAATGACGGATCCTTCCAATTATAATAATCGATCTCAAAGCGGCGTCTGTGGACAGAGTATCATTTTCCTAAGGAGGAAACTGAGGTTCGGACGGGTCCAATGAGCTAGGTGATGCTTCCCCAAGTCGCTGCCCCCAGCCCCAGCCGGGATCCAAGTCCCCTCTGATGGAGTCAGGAACGGGGTTTTCGCTCTGCAGTGTGGCCTGTGCCCTGGGTGGGCTCTGAGACCTCACTCACCCACGGAATCACACTGCTGCTTTCTTTCTATTATATATTTTTGTTATTCATTATATTGCTATATTACATTTTCATTTAAAAAGTTCCAGTAATGGAGATGAAGCTAAATCCCTCATGACCAACTATCCCTATGCCCGACTTTCCCAGCCTTGGTGCATCTCCAGATACCCGGTTATCAGCCTCCTGGGTATCCTTCCAGGCCTTTCTCTGCCTGAAATAGACTTCTTTTTGTACGTAGATAGTTATCTAACTTTTAACCGTAAATGGGGTCATACTAGGTATCATCTTTCCGTAGGTTGGCCTTTTCTCTTTGCGTCTGTGTGGTCTCTCTGTCCGGAGATGTAGATGTGGGTGATCTTCCACGTGGGTTTTCTCTCTCTGTAGAGTGTCTATGGTATGGACATGGCGTGTTTATCTAAGAAGCTCTCTTAACAAAACACTGCATCAGAAGCTCCTGGGAGAGACCTAGAAGTTTTCTCTTAAACTCCCCACGTGATCAGGATGGTCGACATCCGGAAAATGGGTGGCCGAGGGTCGGAGGGGTTTGTACTGTGGAGCTTCAGGACATCCCGCCGTCCTCCTGGTCCCTTACTGTCTTTTCTAGAATATCTCCTAGAAGCGGCACCATGTGTTCATTTATCCATTCAAACCACACCGATGCCCACAGCGAGCCGGCCTCTGTGCTAGGCACAAGCATTTCTGGGTCACTCTGTGCTCCACGGAGGGGGACGCTCAGCCGGGCCGGGGTCCTGGCGTCTCACGGACTCGAGATGGCCCGCAAGCAGCCGACCTTCCCTTTGACGCGGGGAAGCCTGCTCAGGGTCCGGACGCAGACCCACAGCAGGCACACGTCCTGCCACCTACCATTCGCAATGTTTTCTGGATCTGTTTCAGGATCTATAACAACTTGCCGGAAGTTAAAAAGAAAAAGGAGGAACAAAAGAAGAGGGTGATCTTGCAGAGCAACAGGCTCCGCGCCGAAGTCTTCAAAAAGGTAATGGCCTGGCTGCCGGCGCGGGGGGCCGGGCCTGCGCGCATGCGTGATCCTGAAACAGGTCCGGCGCTCAGAGGCCGACTCTGAATTCACGGCTTTGTCTTCTACTTCCCTAGCAACTGCTGGACCAGCTCCTTCAGAGGAATGCAGTCTAGCCGCAGGCTACCCCGCCGGCCTACCCCAGACCCGCGATGACTTGATGACTTCGAGCACTGGATAAACCATTAAACTTAGCTTATCGTCATGACGTCAGCCACTGATACTCTTTAATTTTCTTTTTTGCGTAAAGGAAAACCTAGCTTCCTGAATTGCTGACCCGAACCAAGCAGAAACAATAAACCCCGAGGAAGTAGGTCAGCAGACGGGTGGGCGACCACGTCACACACCCCACTAGACAGTCCCTTCCCTTCTTCTGAATTGTCCTTTAGTTTCTGGTTTTCTTCCCCCGCCGTTTCCGCCCAGGCAGAAAGGCCTTATACGCTCACGTGGGCTTAGGTCCCTGGGGGTTATTTTTTTTGTTTTCATCGTATTTCTGGAACCCAAATCCATCACTTTTTAAATACCAATCTCAACTTCTGCCAGTTCTGCCGACCCCAGACTTCAGGTCATCACACGCCGCGTTTAAAATCTCTCTGGATGCGTGAGCCACGCGGTACTGGGAGCTGACTTTGGAAGTGTGTGGGGGGGTTGCTGTGCCAGAGAGTGGGGGGCTAGCTGTCCGTGTCCCTGTGGCCAGGGATAATCAGAGCAGCCATCACCACCCCAGCCCACTCAGTGCCTTTCTTCGTTTAGCAAAAGAGCCTACGTCCATGGAGGTTCTCAGGGCAGAAAAGGCTAAAAATACCTAGAGGTGACCTCAGCGTTTCTGCAAACCCTGCCCCCCGAGGAAGAGCCGTGTTGCCGAAAGTGGCCGGACGGCTCCCAGACTGCCATTATTCTTCCAGCATTTATAGCATTCATTATTTATACAAGTGCATTTCGGGAGTTAAAAACAAACTAGTTTTTATCAAAAATGAAAATAAATGCAGTTATTACAAAAATTAGAGTATTTCTGTCGTGCATTCTGTGTTGCATGGCGCTCAGTGCGAGACGCTGCCAGGGCCCATCGGGAGCCTCCAGCAGCCTGGTCCTTCCTGACGCCCTGGGGGAGAGCACCCTCTCCAGGGAGCTGGCACGAGAGACGCTGGGAGACCGCTGAGAGCATAGTTTGGGGTCCTGAAGACCCCGGCTCTCACTAGGAGTCTCCCTAGGAATGAGAAAGAGGTTTGGGGGACTAAGCAGGGGACCTGGTGACACCTCTGTCTCCTTCCTGCCCTCCACCCCGCCTCCCGTACTGCATACACAGTCCTGTCTCCTAGGATGCCCTTCGTTTACGAGTCTGCGGGAACACTGTTTAAAAACTCAGCCTCCGGGTTCTCCCCGACAGCTTCCCCCTCTGGCCGGGCGTGCAGCGAGGCCGGAACTCTGCTCTCTGCTCCCGCCGGGTCCCCCTCTGCTGTGTCGCCTGCATGGGGCGACCTAACAGTGCGCTGAAGAGCAGACTCTGGGGTCACGTGCTGGCTGCAGGGCTCCCTGGTCTGCACCCTTGGGCAGGGGTGTCAGCTTGGAGCCAACCAGGAGGAGGAACCCACACGGTAACTTGAATGGGGAAGTTTAACGCGCAGAACTATTACCCATAACGGAGGATGGGCGTCCCGAGGACTGGCTAGAGCGAAGCAAAGGGAACGGGAGAGAACTCAGTGGGGCCAGCCCCGGGGAGAGCATGTCCACCCCTGGGCTGGAGCCCGACATTGCGGGAGAGGGCGTGCTCATAGCTCAGCAGGTGACAGAAGTCTCATGGTGCCATGCCAATGGAATAGTTGAAAATGCATCCTCCGGGACTTGCCGGACACAA